TGACTTGTATCTTTGTTAGGTCGGAAACTTTTCAGACCACCCTCGTAGAACTCTTTAGTCGGCGGAGTACTTCTCATGTTTTTCTAACGAAACATTTCCGGACAGCTCGTGTATCATTTCACTCACAAGATCATCGCCGGAGCGGCATATTCTCTCTCTTTCTCCCCCCCCCCTTTCTCTTCTTCCTTTGTTTTTTTGATACCTTTTTTTTTATTTGATGATATCCAAAGAATGTGCACGCGAGCTTTGTCGCGTTCACGAGGAAAGCTGCATAGCGAACGTTGTTTATCGCGTAAACTAGAACGCGCGCATGCAATCGTATCGGCTTAGCGCTCGAGTTTGCACGTGGCTTAAATAGCATGTAACACGGCGGCGTGCACGCGTCACACGTCACGGCTAATAAAATATCTCGTGCGCCTTTAGTGCCCCGATAGTGTTAGATAATGATTTAAGCGCCCGTCGCGAGCGAAGAATAATGGCTCGTTGCATCGAGGTGCGTGAGAGAAAATCGTGCTGCACTTGGATTCAGCTTAGTCGCGATCTTGTTCTCGCGCGTTTCTTCCCCGATGCCTTTCGCGTGCGTTCGCTCTCCGGGACTGTGCCTCGCGACAGTGATCCATTTCGGATCTATGAAGAAATCCTCCGAGCGACTTGAATGGTCTTCGGAGACCCTTCCCAAACGGCAATTAAACTTACTGTATGAATTTCGATATTCGTCATTTATTCGCATGCATTCACTTGGAACATTAATTGAGTTTACGTTCCTTTTAGTTTAGTTCATTTCATACGCCTCCCGTTTACTCTTCAAAATCGTGTCCCGGGACGTTAACTCGTTTTCGACTCGGAACTTTCTGACAATATCCTCTCGAAACGGTCTGAATAATCTTGGAAGGTCCTTCTCAAGTTCAATCATTAAATCTGGTCGCGTGTTATTAATTTCGCGTATTTTTTGCTTCAGAATAATCGAGTTCAGCTTTTTATTCATATTGTGTTATTTTATATGCTCGCTTGTTCTCCAGCACCGCGTCTCGGGACATTGATTCGTTTTTCATCCGTGAAAAAGTCCTCGAAACGGCCTCATTAAATCTCGAGAATTATTTATTAATTTCCCGTGTTTTTGTGCAAAGGTAACAGTCGAATTTATCGTTTATTTTATTTTATTCCGTGCGCTACCGGTCGTATGTGTCACATTGCAGAGGATCTAATATCGGAGTATCTTGCGCGCGATTTCCGCTCTCTTTTCCATCTCTTCCTCTTCATCCGTCTATCCGCATATGATCATAGTCCGCGTCACTCCATCACGCGCCGGGCTAATGACCAGACCAGCTGGATCGCGAAATTTTGATGAGACAAGCAAGCAGACGGACAGACGGGCAATCCGATGCTCGTGGAATTCACGACGACGAGCGCGGCAGTAGTCGCGGTAAGTAGAAACCGGAGACAACGAGGACGCGGAGTGCACGCGATGGTAGTTGCGAAATCGCGGGCCCAACGTGTGAACTTCGTTGTGACGGTTTTTCGATGCCTGGATGTCACGCGAATGCACGTTGTGTATGTGCGTGTGTGTGCGTGCGCGCGCGTTAAACGTGAGACGAACTCGGAGATATCTGTGAGAACGCGAACGTCTCATAATTTAAAATGTTAATGAAGCAAACACGAATAAATAAGGCGCGAGTCTTGAACGCAGAGCAAGCATTCACGCTCCGTTCGTGATCTAATTTAGCGTTCTAAGAAACTCCGAAGATCACGAAAATCGGATAGAAAATCTATTAAAATCATCTTATTCATTATATTAACACGCTACCACTCACGTCACACATATAAACACACACATATATGTGACGCATCGATTTTCATGAGAAACCGACGTCACGTGTATGTGTGACGGCAATAATATCTTATTCTATGTCCATGTAAACAAATTAGGTCTGTTTCACATTATTACATAAACAACAAACGAATATATCGAATAATCTGTGGCG